TAATTGTAAAATATTGGAAACAACCCAAATTCCCAAAAGTAGGAGAGTGGTTATTTAAATAAACATCTACATAATGGAGAACTATACAATATTAAAAGAATGAGGCAGGTATCTTCAAACCGATAGGGACTAATTTTTAGGAAATATTAAGTCAAGCATAGTGCAAAACAGTATTTGTAGTTTACAATATTTATAGTTTTTTACTTTCTTGTGTAAGAATGAAGGGGAAATTTAAAAAAAAAAAATACATGTATCCCTTCATTTGTGCAAAATTAAAATAGAGGAAAGACCAAGCAGAAACTAATGAGATTAGTTTGAGGATGGGAACAAGGTAGAAGGGATAGAGATGTGGGGATAGTGACTCTTCTTTATATATACTTTCTTGTATAATTTAACTTTTATAACCATGTATGTTTCACTTGCTGACAAAAAAAATCAAAAATGGGGAAAAATAAACTGGAATATAAGCAAGTCAATCCACCTGCATTTCACATGAATAACACTGGAGTGAGGACCTAACCCAAGTAACTCTCGAACGTATTTTTAAGACTTTAGTCCTTATATTAATAGTAGAGAGAATGGTAAACAAGCTTTGAACTCTAGTTACTAGTTTTAGTTTCTGCAATAGTATGAGTTAGTAGTTCTGAAAGTAATGTGTTTCTAAGACTGGGAAAATAGGTAAATTTTTGTGGATGATGTAAGCCAGGTTTCTTACTTTAACAACGGAATTACAAATATTGAAAGGGAAAAGGTGTTTAATGGATGCTTTAGGGTTGGATTAGAATTGGAGCTTATAGTATGAATTAATGGCTTTTAATTCATAGACACAGGTGTGTGTATATGCCCAAGTGTATATGTATGCGAGCATACATATATAAACACACATGCAAATATGCACCCATAGCTTCTTAGCTTCAAAACAACACCACGTTAATAGCAGTATATACATTTAGTGCCCAAATCTTGGTTTCCAAATTTCATTCTTCATTTCAGGCACAAATTATCTGATTTCAGGACTTTGGCTGGAAAGAATAAGATGAACTTGGAACATCTTGCTGTGCCAGAAAATGAGGAAGTGCTGAAAGGTTAATAGGGAGATGGTAAAAGGTGCTGTCTTAAAGGGGCCAACTCCTATCATAATTTGAACATCAAAGTAAAAGTAACAGATAATAATACAGAGAATAATAATCTTTGAGTTATGCGAATGAATGAGGAAGAAGGTAATGCTCTTCCATACAGTAGAAAGTTAACTAAAAATGTAAAAGAAATTATGGAATTAGAAAATCACAATTTGACAGTCATTATAGCAATACTATGTTTCAGGCAAGAGTCATGCATAGGGTCTAAAATTAGTCAGCGAAAGTTTTTGAGAAACATGATATTTACATAATCCCAAAGTGTTTCCCGTCAAGGATTAATTACAAAGAGAAATTTAGTAACTTTAAGTGGAGAAACCTAGTAGACACCACCTTAATCAAATGGTCAAAGTTAATACCTACAATAATGGGAAAATAGAAATCGTTTCCCCTGATATGATGCACTGAAAATCTGATCATGAGGAAACTTGGCATTCTATATGGTTAACTGGCTGTGTTCTTCACAAAATGTCATGAAAGACAAAGCAAAACTGAGGGACTTATCCAGTTTAGAAAACAGGCTTGACAACTAAATGTGGAGCGTAATCCCAAGTTGGGTCCAAGCAAGAAAAGCTTTTTTTTTTTTTTTTTTTTT